ATCTTCTAAGTCTACAACTACAGCTCTTGCAAATTTCGTCAGCTTAGTGTTGGATGCTTTGGACAGACGAGAAAAGGCATGTGGTTTATTTCTCGATTTGTCCAAGGCTTTTGACACTTTGGATCATAATTTGTTGCTAATAAAACTTGAGGGGATTGGTATTCGAGGTATAGTTCTAAAATGGTTTACTTCTTACCTAGAGAATAGAAGACAAAAAGTAAAGATAACATCTAATGGACTTGTAAACGAATCAAACACATTGGATATCCATTATGGTATCCCTCAGGGTAGTGTATTGGGTCCTCCACTTTTTATAGTATTTATTAATGATATAACTTTGGTAACTAATTCACTGACTGGGGTTAACATTATCAGTTATGCGGATGATACCAACATTCTAGTCACAGGAACGTCTGATCAAAATTTGCAAAATAAAACTTCACAGATACTATCCACCATCAAAAGTTATTTCTTATCCAACAAATTAGTTTTGAATGAAGAGAAATCAAAGTATATGATTTTCACGTCAAATAATTTATTAAACCATCAAGCCACTATAGAAGCAGCAATAGATAAAACAGACTGCACGAAGTTGCTGGGGGTACTTCTAGACAGTGATTGTAAATGGTCAAACCACATTTCTAATTTGAAATCCAGATTAAGTAGCGCATGTTATGCATTAAGAATTCTTTCACGTTTTTTTCATACATCAATATTAAAAACAGTATACTTTGCCCATTTTTACTCAATAGCCAAATATGGCATTGAAGTCTGGGGTTGTACCTCTAAATTAGAGCAGATATTCGTACTTCAGAAAAGAGCTATTAGGATAATGTATAAAATGAAATTTAGAGATTCTTGTAGAGGCATCTTTAGACAAAACAATATTCTGATAATTCCTGGTCTGCATATATTTTCGTGTATAATGTATTTGCATAGCAAAATTCATGAATTTAATAAATTTCAATTTAACCATGTTTATTCAACAAGATTCAGAGACAATCACTTTATGCTTCCACAACATCGTTCTGTTTTGTTGGAAGGTAGCACACATTATGCAGCCATAAGTTTCTTTAACAAATTACCAATAGATATACGAATGAATTTACATCATCCAAACTTTCGGAGGTGTGTACATCAATACATTTGTGAGCTAGAGCCATATTCTAAAAATTATTTTTAAGTATGGTTTATCGTGTTTAATTAATTTATATAATTTTAAGATTTATGTCTGTATTTTTGACTTGTCTCATACATGTACTTTGTATAATGTCGCATGTGATCAATAAATTTGACTTGACTTGACTTGTAGGAATGAGTACTTTTGTCCTCCCATCAGGTGGCCCAAGTATTCTAGTTTTCTCTTTTTTATATTCAGTATAACTTCTGGATCATTATTTATTCTACGTATACCTCTTCGATTGTAATTTTATCTACCCAACTTATTTTTAGTTTACGGCGGTATCACCACATCTCAAAGCTTTCAAGATTTTTAACATTCCTCTGTTTAAGAGACCATGCCTCAACACCTTAAAGCAAAGTACTGAATACATAGCATTTTACCATTCTAGTTCGTAGATGAATACTAATATCAAGATTACAATTTTTTTTTTTTTTCATTTTTATAAAGGTAGACCTGGCAATTTCAATACGTCATGTATTGGATTCTTACTGAAGGTCATATATTTGGTTTTTTTGACGTTCATCCTTATGCCGTACTTATTACACATTTCATTCATACTTTCAAATAGATGTTGTTCTTGCCAGTATCACAGTATCATTGTGAGCATTGTCAGCATATCGAATGTTATTGATAACTTCTCCATTGACTATTATCCCTTCGTTTGCATGTGAGAGAGCTTCTTGGCATATTTGTTTGCTGTAGATATTAAACAAGAGCGATGATAATATACATATTACCCTGTCGTACTCCTCTACATATTTCTATTTCGTCCGATGTTTGGTCTTCTATTTTTATATTAGCTCGCTGATTCCAGTACAGATTTAATATTGTTTGTATGTCTCTGGTGTCGATGTTCTTACCCTCCAGGATTTCTTTGAGTTTATTGTGGCGTACTTTGTCAAAGCCCTTTTCAAAGTCTATAAAGTAGGCGTGTAACTCTTGGTTAACATCTAGACATCTCTGTGTTAGGACGATTAAGTCAAAGAGAGCTTCTCTTCAACCTTATTCTTTTCTGAATCCTATATGTGTATTGTTAATATTGATATCTAACTTTTGATAGATTCGGTCGTGGATGACTTTAAGAGTCATCCACAGGTTAGTACCATCAGTATTTTTTCTTGGTCCTTTCTCATAAATATCTATGGGATCATTAATAGGAGAATTTTACTATCACCATTGCATGTGGTTATATTTTTAAAGAAAAATTACAAGCTGTAATTTTTTAGATGGATATTCTCAGGTTAAAGTTAATTTCAGTTAATCGAAAGCACAATCTTCAAATAACGTCGTCCCAGAGCGCAACTCAAAAATATTTACAGTTTTATTGTCATCTATTTTAAAATGTATAATATATGTCTAAATTTTCATTACGAATATGTCAGATAATATTAGAAAACGTTTTTTTTTTATCAAGTAACAAAAACCAAATTTTATTAATGTTTTTTATTTTGAGAACAATTTTTTAAGTGAAATATGAACGATAAACATTTTAAAGAATAATTGTGGCTTATTCCCAATAAAAATAATAAATTGCCTTAAGATACCACAAAAAAATAGCCTCAGAACAATATTCCATAAAACAGGTAAATCCTTTTTTTATGTAATTTCACAACTCGTTTTGAATATTAATGAGTCTCGTTTAGAAAGATGGTAGTATTATATATAAACAAACCTTATCTGTGTTACTATTTCGAACACATATCCTCGGCTGTATGCATTAGTGGCACAAAACACGAAAACCGGTAATTTTCCAAAGCAGGTGTTTGAGTGTATGAGTGTCAATAATTTTGTTTTATTTGTTTTACTCCATGGATTGGAATGTTTAGAAAAAATAAATGTTGGTGTATTTGTGAGATCATTAGCTAGCCTTTAATGAATTACAACACAAACCTCTTAAATTCAATCATTATTTTTGAGTTATGCCACTATTGCACATTAACATCTTGTCTTTTAAGAGTGATTAAGGTAAAGAAAAAACTGACATTCCTATCAATTAAAATAAAGGAATACTACAATAAAGAATACTACGAATTACTTGAGAATATGTGTTCAATAACAACTATAAGGAGAACCTAATAAAAACGTTATATTGATAAATGTCTGTAAAAATCAGCGTGCATTAGTGAGACACTCTTGTCTTCAATAAAGCGAATAAGGTCGTTTTTTTTTCTTTTCAGTTACTGGCAGGCCGCCAGTGTAACCCGTTTCTAGTTCTATAATTCCCATGCTTTCTACGCATTTTCTTGTTTTTTTTCTTGGTGGAATTAACTGATCTGTTCTGTACTTCTCTTGTGTAAATGATGTTTTAAAATAGATACCAGAGTAAAATAGTACCAGAGATATTTTACACGAATTTCACAAATATCGTTGAAATTAAAATTATTTTCTTCACATTTTCATTGAAAATTGTCGCTGTTTTAGTATTTAACTTTTTCAGGTCAAAAAAATCATTATGACATAATTCGTGTAATTAGAGTGATTGTTTGCAACGCGTAGTTCGGATAAATATAGCGTAATCAGTCGGTAGATAAATAGCATGGACGTATAAACACAGATGGACTCAGTTATTTACATAAAATTGTGTAGTCAAAATTATTTGAATAGGTCACATTCTCAACACCTTCAACTGTTGTCACGTTTTGTTTTAAAATTTCTTATTCGCGAGTCGCTGAAAATTTTACTCTGTATTTTATACTCTACAGGTGCTATCAAACCAAAATAATAATTTATTGGTTAGATTAATATATTTAATTGTAATCAAAATATCAAAATAGCGTATCAATCAATTATTTTATATGTAGAAGCACTGAAAACTATTTATAAATGACAACGGTTGTTTACATTTCTCTGTCTTATGGATCTACGTTAAACTTCAAATGCTGTTCCATGTGTGTTTACTTTTTACGGTAGATGAGGAAAGTCGTTTTTCGATATTTTGGCTGTATTTTAAGTGATATTTTTGAAAAGTAAAATAAAATAAACGAAACATTTACATCCCGATCTCTCATTTTATTTGCAAGTACATACAATTTACATTATTTAAGATGAGGAAATGAGGAAGCGTGTTTGTTTACATTTTAATAGGCGTACCATTGGGTTTATTCATGTTCATTAATGTATTGAATAAGATATAAGTTCATAAAATTAGTAGACATTTATAAATTGTAAGTAGACATCATCTGATTAAAAAAGATCTGTTTAGTACCTTTTTAATTTAATATTTCTCATGGATACAAATAAATTAGTGAAATGAATAAAACCCATTTATTTTTCTATGTAGGTGTCCAAATAATATTAACGATCGAACTATTTGGGTAGCAAATTAAGGAGAAAACATAAAGAGTTTTTATTGTAGCATTATTTTGATACCTATTAAAAAATTAACTTGAATTCAACTATATTTAATTGTATTAATTTTAAAGCAAATAAAATTGTATTTTAATTTTTCTATAAAGACGTGATTTGTTAATAGTTAAACTCTCGTTTTTTTTAAAAGTCTTTGAACGTGTTTTTATACATTAGTACTACTTCCAATTTTTAAAATTTGAATAATTACCCGCGAGTAAAAATTCAAGCACGCTTATGCTCATTGCGAAAGCATCACATTCTATCGAAGCTTCAATATATTGTGTGTTAAAGGTATCTTATTGCTGTGTCGATCTATGTTTATACGTCCATGATAAATAGGCTATCTTTTTAAAGATTTCGTTATATTTCTTTTCATTAAAAAGTGGCAGATGTCACCCCAATTTTGAGTATGGCCGAAAACTAAACAGCGAAGAGTTTTAGAAGAAATTCTGAAATGAGTTACATTCCATTAGTGCGGACAAGCCTTCTTTTTCCTACTTTTAGGTTTATTTATCGTCACATTTTCTGGTACTTCAGTATCCACATTTTTATTAAAGACCTCTGTAAATGTAGACGACACATCATCAGCATTCACATACTGAGGGTCCGCATCAGGATCATCAACATTAGAAGATTGGGAGCTAAACGAACTTCCAGAAGAGGTGCATACTAATTTAAAACTGCTACCAAAAACAAGAAAAAAAGACAAATATTAAGAAGAAATCAGTTTGCCAAGTACTTACTACAGTAAATTGGCCAATAGCTTAGAATAAAACAAATAAATGTCGTGTATAAAAAGAGCAATTTTGTATCTATTTGCTCCACTGCATCGATGATTCTAAAAAGATAAATTTCGTACCCATTTGCTTCGCTGCATTAATGCATTGTGTTCATTTACGGGAAACATTCTGATCATTACCTTCTTTATTCTTAGGGATATTTTTATTAGGAGAAAGGAGCTCTACTTTCTATTTTACTACTCACCTGCAAGGTCTTTTTTTTAACTTGAAACAACGAAGTCATTGTGCTTAGTACATTAAAATAATATTGATATTATTACTTATGTTACTCCTGCTCGAGGTACGATTAATTTACTTCTTTTCTAATAACGGTATGGATCTGACATTTTTAAAACAATAAAATTATTCCTTTTATTTCATGTGACACAATTTAAAAATTTAATATTTAATACAGTTTGAAAATGGCTAAAATTCACTGCTATTATGGCACAACTCAAAAGTGTCGGTATTGCAAGAAAACAATACTGACACGGGTCAACTTCCACCGCTCAGTAAAAAGTGCCAGTGCTGCAAGAAACAATTTATCTCAATAGACAACATGTCATATCGACACCAGTAACGTGAAGCGGACATTTGTGCTACTATTATTGTGCCAGGTCAGAAATAAGTCTTCTTCAAGCCGTCTGGTGATGTTAAATCACCTAACTTTTTGAGTTAAGCCACTTTTGCATACAACTGACGATATAATAACATTAAAATGATGGGGTAATAAAGAATTATTGTGTTTTTATTAATAATTACATTAATTTAAACTAACTAACCGTAATTTACGGTTAGTTTTAATTCTCAAAATATTTTTATGCAAGAACTACGTGATCCACATAATGAACCATCTTTTATATTCTTTACTGGCATTTAATAATAATTTATCAATTTCGTGCAAAAGTGTGTATGCAATATTTTTAAATTGATATCAAAATACCCAAGCACTGCTATTTTCTGAGTAAAACGGCGATAAGTATAAGGAAATACATAAATAAAAAATCAATAATATTAGTTATAGTAAGCGGACAATAATAGATAATTCCGAATTAGATCTATATCAAAATAAAATGAATTGGGCCAGTTTCCACATTTTTTAACGAATGTTTCCAAAGAAATAGGTGTATGGTATAGGTTTATTTTGATCTCTTTATAAATGTATCTAAATTTTTCTGTTTGCTGTATTTACGATCAAAACAACATTGCTTTTGGGATTTTGGGAGGACCAAAAAGAATAATAAAAATACACCTAAATATTAAATGTAAATTTCATCAATACATCAATCAACTTGATCAATACACACCTCATAAATACCTGCTATGTAAAATAAATAATATATGTTATCTTAATTATGTTATATCTTAGTTATATAATGTCTTATGACATCTTAATTGTAAAAATAAAAAAAAAACATACAAATCATATTTGTTTCGAACCTGTTCTTCAATTCTAGGAATCAAATAAGCAAAACCGTTTCTACTCACAAACCGATACCTTTTTGAAACATCTCTATCTCCCTATGACTGTCTTTTGAAAATTTTAAATCAAAATTTAATCTGCAATACAAGGCTTCCTCTTCTTAAACCCGCTTCTCCTATTTCAATGTACTCTTCTTGCGGTTTGATCTTTGCTCAAAGTAAATTATCTCTTATCGAAGTAAAATATTGGCAATCAAATGCTTACAAATCTCCTAATCTGATGGCCAAAAAAACATTAACAGCCTTACTTTGGATAATTTATTGTATTTATTAAAAAAATTTATTGAATATATCTGCTTTGCCGTTTCACTGCTACCAGAAAACTTATCGACTTTTCACACTTTTCATTTTTTATGAAACCGGCAAAAAAGGACCAAAATTTATTTTACTTACCCCAATAATCTCACAAAAAAAAAATAAAAAAAACCTTTATCCTCTAAAACTTGCATCGATTTTTTTTTAATTATTTTCTTCTAAAACCAAACTTCTCGTTTTTATTTCATGACATTTCCTAAAATCTTTTCCTTGACCAATCAACACACTCTAATAAAAAACATATCTTTTTCACTCTTTTGCTGTTTCCTTCTACCGTTTTTATTATATCCTAAACAATTTATGCAACTAAATTATCTATCGGTTTATCGGGATACACCATCTAGGTCATTGTAGACCATTTGGAATAAACTATATCGATGTCTATTATTCTGACTATATAGAAAAACAATTAAGCCACTTTCTCATCTAAACAATCTATGACTAATAATCGTACTACACATTTATCTCTAGATACAATCCCTTATAAATAAATTTTATTATTTACTGTTCATTGTTCCGTAAAATTTTTATACCGTACTTTTTGTCCTTCCAAATCTATTGATATTAATTCGATCGTGTAATCACATTATTGTAAATGAGGAAGAAATAAAAAAAGAATGGCAGCTGTATATATAGAGTTCTTTCAAGATGTCAGGAATAATATTGCCGAATTCTACCAAAACTGTACTGACGGCCCAGAAATTATGAAATGCGAAGTAGAACATGCTATAAATAATGCTAAAATTAGAAAAGCTTGTGGTCCAGATGATACACCAACTGAGTTGCTGAAACTAATAGAGAATGATAACATAAAAGTAGTAGTAAGACTTTTTAATATTCAATATATAACACCGGAGTGATTCCCGCAGATTGGCTCAAATCCATCTTTATCGCAATACCTAAAAAACACAATGCGAGAAAATGCTCAGAATATCGATTAATTAGCGTAATGAGCCACACTCTTAAAATTTTTCTCAGAATACTTCACAACAGAATTAGACGCAGATGCGAAGAAGATCTTGAAAATACCCAATTTGGTTTTAGAATGCATCCTATTAGAAAAATGCCGTGACCAAAGAAAAGACGTATTTGCATGTTTCGTGGACTTCGAAAAGGCATTCGATAAAGTACAGCATGTAAAATTAATGTAAATACTGAAAAATATCGGAATAGATGACAAGGATATTCGTATCATTAAAAATTTGTACTGGAATCAAACTGTTATCGTAAAAATTGGAGACAACTATACCGATGAAATCTCCATACAACGAGGAGTCAGACAAGGTTGCATTTTGTCGCCAACATTGTTCAATGTTTACTTGGACCAGTTATTTAAAAGGGCACTCGAGAGACAACCATATGGAATAAAAATCAACGGGGAACTACTTAATGTGATTTGATATGCAGACGATACAGTAATTCTATCAGATACTATTGAAGGTCTTCAAATTCTGCTTGATCGTATTCACGAAATCCCGAAATATCCCGATGCAAAGCTTCAATTCAACGGAGTCCAAGTTGAGCAAGTTCACAAAATGACATTTTTGGAAACTGTGATAACGGACCAACTAGATCCAGACATAGAAATAAAACTTTGAATAGCAATGACTAAAACTACTTTTATGAAAGTTAGAGTTAAGTCATTTCTTTGCAATAACTATCTTAGTTTAGAGCTAAGGCAAAGAAAGGTTAAGTGCTATGTTTGGTCTGTACTTTTGTATAGTGCAGAAGTGTGGACTCTAAAAGTATCGATCATGAACAAAATTGAAGCATTGGAAATGTGGGTTCATAGACGAATGCTGAAAATACCTTGGACAGCAAGAAAAGCTAATGAAGAACTACTAAGAAGCGTCAACAAAGACAGAGAACTGATCCTTAAAGGCAAAATAGAGGGCCGTAGAGATGTAGAAAGAAAACAAGTTTCTTGGTTAAAAAACATTCGTGAGTGGACTCAGATACCAAATGCAGGACAATTATTTCATATTGCAGAAGATCGAAAAGCCTTCGCAATGGTGATCGCCAAGGTCGGATAAATCTGATATGGCACGCGAAGAAGAAGAAGAATCACTTTAAATTATTCAAAACACACTTTCACTGAAGAATACTAAATGCTTAAGTTTAACCTTAGAAAGGGAAACTGTTAACTTGGGAAAGGATCACTACAGGAGCAATGTTACCCATTTATGGCACTAGTGTTAGAAGTCCCTGGTAGTTTCCAGGACAACATCTAACAGCTGCCACGGAAAAACTACAGCTTCCAGAAAACTTAAATAATGCTTCGCAGATCACACTGCTAGACAAAAAGACCAACGTTGGAACTCCGCAATATAACATTGGAGACCTTATAAAGATAGACCATCAAAAAAGGAGACCATAGATGAGATGGGTAGACCACATAAAAAAAATATATGAAACAAATTGGAAGTGTGTTGCTCAGTATAGAGATGGGTGAAAGGAATTGAAAAGGCTTATCTCTAAAAATGTACGATAGAAGGCTAAGGAGAAGCTCTGGTGCATAATGTTTTATTATCATTTATTTTTTTTATTTCTGTTGTTTCTAACATTCTTATTTTTATAAGGATATTTTTGTTTGTCCAAATTGATTCATTCAAGCAACTTGCGACTCTGTTTGCTCTATTCACTTTAACTTCTTTCACTTCTATATTTAGAGCTTTCCGCAGCCAGATATTGTGATGCCTTGATATTTAAACTCCATCACCTGTTCTATTATCTGACTTTTCAACTTCAATTTACATCTTAGTAAATACGCTGTTATAACCATGAATTATGAGAGAAAATTAACATGTTAAATTTTCTGGCAGTTATATTTAATTGGTGCAGCATACGTTGTAAATAATCTTCACTTAACAGAATAGTAGTGCATCAATCTGCATAGCAGATTATTTTAAGTTGTTTTTCTTCCATTTGGTATCATTTTTACTTCTTACACTTTTTATTATTTCATCCATACCCAGGTTGAACAGTAGAAGATTTAGGTAATTTTTTTTTCTTATTACATTTGCCAGCTTCAATAGGGTCAGTAAGTTCTTCTTCTACTTTTACCTTTATTGTGTTATTTTGGTAGATATTTTTGATCGTTTTGTTTA